TTTCCCATATGTTCTTTTATTTGCTCTTTGAAAATTCACATAACGAATGGATTTTCAGGAACCTAACCCATTTGTATTGCAAGTGATACCTGTACGTTAGGTCTTCACATTCACATACTAAACCATATTTTCTTTCAAGTTGTTGAAATCTTGAGATTTGTTTAAAATTGCCAGAATACTGTATTTCAATGCCTCAAATAACAAAATCCCACACTGTGGTTTCATATAACAGTTAGACTATTTTACAAGAATTTAAACTTTTTTCTCTAACATACCAATAATTGAAATGTTATTACAGTATAAAGAATTATATTTGTAAATTGTTTTATAGATTTGAACAGTATTACCCAAAACAAATGTGTGCTGTGGATATTTGAGGTGACTCAATAACTGTACAGTATATGGTTAGCGGACTCCTACTTTTACTATAGTAACTACCTTCCGGCAGTACAGATGATGTTTTTGCTCCATTTTGGTAGGACAACACTTAAAGGCATGTCCTAATAGAAAGATAGCAAAGATGATAACACACAAACTTTTAAAACAAAGTACAAGTTGGACCCTGCTAATCCGGGACCTGGTAGTCCGGCAGCTTCGATGGTTCAGGATGATATTTGAATCTGTTTATAAGCTTTGCTTTATCATGTAATATTTTAAGTTAGATTGCATATGCTTTACTTTATCAAATAATGTTTTACAGGTTCAGGTATCAGTAGGCCTATAATATATAATTTCCACTTTGCTTTTTCTGCCAGTCTGCTTATTTTTGTGTCACAGTATACAGTAAACTTGTGCCATAACACTAACACTTTGTCATAAATCTAGCCCAGTAAGCTTGGGCTAGATTTATGCTGATGTAAGTTGTATTGGTACCAGTAATAGTACAGTATATTTTATGCATTTTTTTGGCACTTTTTTAACCTTGGCTTCGATGGTTCAGAATTTTCGCCAATCCGAAACCGGTCTGGTCCCAAGCTTCCAGGATTAGCGAGGTACAACCTGTACTGTACAATGTTAGTCTGATGCATATAACTGTACGGAGATTTTCTTTTGAACCTGGTTTCATTTGTACCATATAATGGGGCCAATGAGTTGAAGAAATTTCATAGATGCCTAATAAGTGGGGATAAACCTCTTTTATTTTAATTTATTTATATTTTATTTATTAATTTATTTATTTATTTATTTTATTTTTTATTTATGTTTTTAACAGGGAAGAGTGCACCCAGGCCTGGGACTGGGTAATAAACTAAAAAAAAAAAAAAAAAAAAATATATATATATATATATATATATATATATATATATATATATATATATATATATATATATATATATATATATATATATATATATATATATATATATATATATATATATATATATATATATATATATATATATATATATATATATATATATATATATATATATATATATGTATATATATATATATATATATATATATATATATATATATATATATATGTAAGAATAAAAATTTGAAGAGAAAACGACTACACCATACAGTATTAGTCTACACCACGAAGATGCTGGAGAACCAGCTTTTTGAAGTGACACAGATTTTAAGAGGATGGAAACACAGATAAAGGCAGAGCATTCCACAGTTTGACTGTGTGTGGAAAGAAGAATGTACTATAATGGGTTATTCTAGTGTGACCGACATCCACTGCCTTGCTGGCGGTACACAGAATGCTAAATTCGCCAAACTTTGCCTGTTAAAGTACCTGTAAAAGAGAGAGAGACTGAAACAACATTGCAGGGAAGAGAGATTAACGACTAAAGGAGGAGAGTTAATAAGACGAAATGCCTATCTAACAGTTGAACAGAAGAACCACCACCCCAGATATGAGAACAGTACTCCAAGTTAGGACGTATGAATCCCTTATAAACCTGAAGCAACTACTCAGGAGTGAAGTAGCTACAGTGCTCTGTACAGCATTTCTAGCTTTTGGGAGTCAGCTTTAGCAGTGTTGAGGATGTGTGACTTACATGACATGTTTTAGAATTTGGCAAAATGATTGCATCCTGAAATGTTTTTGGTGGAAGATCTTCAAATTTGGAAAGTGTAATTGGTAAATACTGTGTTTTATTACTCCTGAATTTAACCAAATTTCTACCTCCTTATGCTGAGATGCTGCACAGATATACATTGATAGATGAAACGATATCAGCTCTCGAAACAGATCTAGTTTGAGAGTTAGGGGGAAAAGACAAATGAGAAGAAGAGTGGAATCATCAGCGTAAGAATGGATAGCATTAATAGTAGAGTGAAGTAAATCATTTATAAAAAGAAGGAAGAGAGTAGGTGAAAGAATAGAACCCTGTGGAACACCACTTTTGGTAGAGAAAGTGCAACATCTGCCATGGATCGGTTCTCAAGGAAACTAGAAATTTGAGAACAAAGTGGAGGATAGAAATCATAAGAAGGCAGTTTAGAAAGCAAAGACTTGTGCTATGCCCTGTCAAATGCTTTGGAGATGTCGAGGGCCAAAGATGGGTGCATTAGGTGAGCAGATCACCAGTAGATTTCACTCGGCAAACGCCATGCTGGTGATCCAACAAAAGAGAAAGGCATTCAAAGTGACAGAGAAAATGGGAGTTTAAGATAGTTTTGAAAATCTTTGAGAGGGATGAAGTTAGGGCAATGGGGCAATAGTTAGAGAGATTACAATTGGAGATTATAGGAAAGTGCATAAGTTCAGTAGGAGGAGCAGGAGTAGGAAGGGTAGAGTTGGAATTGTCTAAGTTGGAGTTACAGTAAAATAAGGTGCCAAAGAGATTGGCTTTATCAGAGGGAGAGTTGGCTACAGAGTTATCAGGTCGGAAAAGATGAAGAGGTTATTACAGATGTTTTTGATTAAGGACCAGAAGGATTTACTAGAATAAGAGCTAGTCAGGTTAGCGGTCTTTCTTTTTATAAAATTCTGCTTGGCCCTACGAAGAATAGCCTTACAATGATTTATAGAAATAATGAAAGAAGAATGAGTAACAGGAGAAGGAGATAGTTTCATAACTTGATATGCCCTATCTCTCTCCCTATATGCAAAGAACAGGAGCTATCAAACCAGAATTGTAAAGTGAAAGTTTTGCTAGAAGATGGGATAAATGCACTCATACCATCCTGTTTAACCCCAACAATGCTGTCAGCACATACCAAGGCATCCCGAGTGGAAAAGCAACATTCATCCCAAGAAACGTCAGAGAAAAAATCACACAAGGATTACCAGTGTGCCCTCTGATAGTGCCATAGTTGTCATTTAGAGCGGGATAGGGGAAGTGGTCACACCCAGTTGAATTTAATAGAATTAAGATTGTGATCAGAAGACCCTAAGAGGGCAGAAATTGAGTATGAATAGTGTGAGGGGTTAAAGATTAAACAAAGATCAAGAATGTTAGCAAGTTGGTTGTGTCGATCTGGAACACGCGTAGGTTATTTAATTATTTGTTCCAGATCATTAAGTACGAAAAAAAAGAAAGTGCCTCAACTCTACCTGGGTCATCCCCTGCAGAGCCAAGCCACCCTCTGTGACGTACAGTACATTGAAATCCCCTAGGCAAAGGATCTCAGTTTCAGGGTGTGTGGATAACAGCAACTCATGGCAAGAAGTAAGATAGTCAAAGAATTCCAAATAGTTGATAGAGTTGGGAGAACAGTATAGGAAACAAAGCAAAATACAAGTCATAGTTGGTAGAGATATTTTGAGCCAGATGACATCATAAAAAGAAGATTCAGGATCCGTGAGTCAAGCCATAAGTGTACGTGTGTTGCAGTAGGCGCATACACCTCCCTTAAAATGGAAAGAGGTATAAAGGTTGTATTTGGAGATTTAAAAAGGTTTGTGTTAAGCTGGTTTGGTCAGTTGAAGTTCAGGTAGTAGTAAGAGATCGGGGGAAGAGGTTAATGGATGGTTCTCCATAGAAGAAAAATTGGATCTCAGGCTGCGAATGTTAGAAAAATGAAGTGTGAAAAAAGTCGATCCCCCAGCAACCGCGGTGACATCAATAGAAGCCCCAGTAGCTTGATGATGGTCAGGTCGGCCCTGGGGTCCACAACCTTCTTTACCAGTTGGACCCATCCGAGAAGACCCCACTTTAAAGAAAAAATAAAACAGATCAAGATTGAGAAAAGATATATTTGTTGTGTTGTTAAAGTGAGATAAACAATTGAGACCTTGCAACTGTGTTTAAATGAGGCAGAAAGTCAGATCAGCAACCCGGGACTTGGTCACAATTTTGTGATCCCATATGGCAGCAGGGTTTACCATTAGACAACACATAGTGCTTTCAATATTTTCCCAGGCGGTAGTACCTCCCTGTTCGATAGCTGCCTCCTACCCTTGCTTACCCCATACCAGATATTACAGTACCGTATTTCTTTTTCTACCATTAAACAACTTTATAGGGTTAACTTATTATTGAAACTTCTGAAATACTGTATATACAGTAGACTACTGTATCTATAAATAATGGAGATACAAATATATATATATATACAGGGTATGTTTTATATAATACCAAATACAAATTACAGTAGTTCCATTCTTCTTTATTAATATATTTCATTGATATTTAATTTTGCAATGGCAATTTAGGTTATTTAGTCATCACCATCATTTTACAGCCATTTTCCACACTTGCATGTATTAACTGTGATTATTTATCTGATGACAGCTCTCCTCCAAGCTGCATGGTCTATTGCAACCTCTCCCTTTCGGTGCTTATCTCTGAAGTCAGATTTCAGATTCAGATTTACCTCATGCAGTATGGGGGCTAGTTTACTGGGAACCAACCCCCTTACATCCTGTGTCATTGCTTATAGCCTTTCCCCATATCATTCTTGGGCTATCTATAGCTCTCAATAGATACTTTTTATTTTCATCACTCAGGGCAGTTCAAATATTGTACGGTACTATAGCTAGTACAGTATAGTGGTGATTGATCTTGTTTCAATGGTTATATTAGATCTTCTCTCCGCAGGCTGTATTTGAGATGAAGAAGAAGGAAATAGAGAAGGCCAGGTCACAGTTGGAGGAGGGCAGAGACAGAGGAGAGTTCAGGGTGAGTCCTCTGTGTGTTTTTAATCTGAGAGAATCCAGTGTTGCTTGCTTGAATTTTTTTTTTTTTCGAATTCTGTGGTACAGTATTTGTCTTCTATAATTTTAATGATTACTTGTTGTGTTATGTTGGTTTACTCTATTGCCTTGCTGTGTGTCATGTTATGTCATTACTACTGTTGTATTTGTGACAATTATTATTCTGGCACAGATTAGTAAGAAAAATTAGATTGTGCACTTTTATGTTGTTTGAATATTTTTATCAATGATGATGTTTGATGTTTACTCTTGTGAGATAACATTTCAGTCTTAGATAAGACAAACAGTTATTTTAAGAGATTTATTATATTAATACATCTGTGCTAAAACCCACCATACTTTACCATACTTTTAACATGGCAAAGATATCTTGTTAATGATAAGAATTCACTTTCAGATACTTTTTTTTTTTAAATCAAGCCACTATTACTTCATTGCATATGTAATGAGCTAAGTTTATATATCTGTCCATCTGTTGTTATTTATTGCTTTCAAACTTCTGTGTTGGATGGATGAAGGGGTATAGAAACCACAAACTACAAGTATTGATTTATTTAATGGCAGCATTTTAGAGGAGGTGTGTATGTATGGGTGGTGTAGTAGTAAAGTGGATACAATGCTTGCCTGGGCTGTAAATTGGCATCTACTATAACTTTACATTTGGCAAAGTGAAGGTGGTCAAGTGCAGTTTTGGCAACATTACCTCTTTGCATTTAACAATGTCCCGAATGGATAGTGTGTATGTATAAGAGTGTTTGAATTTTTATTACAGTAATACTTGGAAATAATTGGCATATAACCATAAACAATAGTCAATAGATTTATTTGATAATACAGTACAGTACAGGCAGTTCTCGGGTTACGAACGAGTTCCATTCCTGGGGACGTTCTTAAGTCCTTATATGAATCTAAACTCACTTAATTTAAAATAAAAGAAGAAATAGAATGACAAAATACAGAAAGTGAAAGTAAAATATAAGTTATCAGGTACATAAAATACTGTAAATTTAAAGTTTAATCTCGTTTGTATCAGCTGTTATTCATAAGTCAGACATTTGTAACCCGGAGACTGCCTCTATTTTTTAGTGGGTGTTGTTTGTTAGTTTTGTGACATGCTGACTTTGTTAGTAAATGCCTTGTGATATATTAATGTTTAGTGATGTTTGTATTCCACCAATTTAATAACTTGTAATAATGTTGATCAATAGTTTTATTCCACAGATTCATTGCCAGGTAGTAAAAAAAAATTAATGTTGTTTGTATTCTGATGATTTAATGTCTAGTAGAACCCAGACCACCATGGTTGGTAGTGAGGCATCTTTACCACTAGACCACAATGAGCTTAAAGATACCTCACCTCAACTGCTCTCTTGTAGCTCAAGGTTCCCCACCCTCATTTTGGTCTCAGACAGCTTTTAATAAAATTCCCAGCACAACGGTGTTGTCAACACAGTAAACCCTTGCCATTCACGAGGGTAAGTTCCAAGAAATGGCGCAAATAGCAACTTGTATACTGCCTTGTAAGGGGCTCATTTTCTCTTTATTCTATTTCATCTTTTTATTCTCTTTATTATTCTTCAATACTTATATACTTACATTCTTGCTTCATATATCTATATTTTCTATTAATCTTTTCTTGTGTATATATATTAATAATTTCATATTCTATGTCTTTCTCTCTATAAGCTGTATATATCTTATATTTCTTTCCTTATATTTTCTAAGTAAATACTGTAGTACCCTGTATTCTTTTCTTTACTTCATTTCTTCTTTCATATATAGTACAGTATTGTATTTTCTGAATTTTATGTCCTTACTTTCTCTCAATTTGATCCTGTTTTTATTTATTTTCTAAATCATTTTTTTAATCTGGGAAACCATATCATTCTTGCTATAACACTTCTTGTACTTACAACATATCTTAGTGAACTGTTAGGTAGCGTGCTAGCGAGCTTATAGGCACGTGAGTTACAGTAGTTATTTTCTGAGAACCAATGGGTAGAAGGAATAGAGCGGTGATACTCGTAATTTACTAATTTAATATTTATTAACATAAAGAGTGAATAAGATGTTAATTAAGTACACTCAAACAAGACTGGCCCACTGAAGTCTTATTTTACCATTCATAAAATATATCTTCAATTACTTATTACATCATTAAACAACTGTTGTATTATTTCTTTGACAAATAAGATGGTTATTTGACATGCTCAGATAGGACTGGACCCTTTGGTCTTACATTTACAAGTAACAAATTAAATCTTCAATTCTTGGTTACAACATTAAACAAGCATTATATTATTTCATTGTCAATACAGATGGTTACATAACACACTTGACAATATCCCAAATTAAGATATTATCTATAGCAACATGTTATTTCGGAATGAACAACATGGCACTTTTCCTTCAGTTGATGCACTCAACCAGTGCCGGATTTAGACCTGTGGAGGCCCATGGGCAGCCTCTTTGTGGAGGCCCCCCTCATTATAACTACCCTAGAGGGTGGGGTGGCGAGTGAAGCGAGCCTAAACATCTGGGAGTTCCGGGGAGCGCTGTAAGCCCCCGGGAAAATTTTGAAATTTGAACACTTCTTTGGAGAATTTTGAAGCCATATGCAGTTATATTGAGGAAATTAGAACATTGAGAAATTTTTAATTAACTGTATATTTATTGATAGTGTACAAATTCCCAACACGCACACACACAAAAGTGAGACATGACTGGAGTCATTCATGTGGTTTCAAGTCGACCAGCCCTGATATAGCTACTACCGCACATGTGGAGGCCCCCAGATTGTGGAGGCCCCTGGGCAGCTGCCCACTTTGCCCACTCCTGAATCCGGCCCTGTACTCAACTCACATAACATATTTACTGATACTATCAATATTTATGGGTTCACTACTCAACATGGGATAACTATATTTCTGCTAATTATCCCCAATCCTATACAACAATAATACTAGATGACTCAGCTGGTAGTACATATGGAGGATGCACTCCCAACAGCCCCGATAACACGGTATTACCGGGTACTGGTAATACCAACACTGCTCGTTACATATGACGAAGATCAATGAACCAGACAATACTGAGCCCACTGGGCGCGGGGGTAGTTTAGTACACACAGCCAAGGCTCGCTCGCTAATAACATCCGTGGTAGACTCGCTGTAGTATCGTAGCACGGTCTTCCCGGGTTGTTCCTGTCCTCAGATTCTAGTTTTGCCATATTAAAGACATCCTTCCATAACCATCTTGCCCATAGGCAGCTACCGAACCTCGGTAGTGGTGGCAACACAGACAGTGCCTGAGATAATGATGGAAAAGCGTCAGAGATGTGAATAATAACTCAATCACAAACAATCTTTCGTCTAGCAACGACAGACGATATTTAGGTTACATTAATTCTTTCACTGGGTAACTGACAATTACCTACACTGTTACAACATGAACACTGATATTCACAAAATTCACTCAGTTAAACTGACTTAATATGGCGGGCAGAGAATCGTACACATACCTGAGATAATGATGGAGAAGCGTCAGAGATGTGACGCTACTCCTCGCACACAAGTTTATATACGGCTGACTGGCAACTCAGGCCTGTGCGGTACACATGCCAGAAAGGCTAATCACGCAATGACAGAAATTACTTTAAACTCAGTTGCTGTACATTTAACTATGAAAATCAATGCCATGGGTTAGGTGAATTTCTGATGTCTATTTTTATAATCTAATCAGAGATTGAGCTTGCCAGGAAGAAGTGTAATACACACGCTGTTAACACTAGTTTTACAAACTCAGCACGGCTGCGAAAAAGGAACTATTCACGGGGATATGTTAGATTTTGGGGATTATACAGGTTGACAGAATAGTTCAGAAGATTAATGACTTTCTTAAATAGACAACTGACACTGACTAGACTACAAATATCAGATTCTCTGATGTTTGGGCATCAAAACAATCTAACTTCAGTTGCATTTGGAAATTAATGGCTATCCCCAGGGACAATATAATGGGACGCTATTCGTACTGGCAGACTCGACACTCACTTACTTAACAAGTATTACTAACAATAAAGACAGTTAAGGCTTTCAACATCACTCACACAGGATCTTGTATGCTTCAACTGTAATCAGACATCTCTAAGTTGACTCAAAACAATGTTGTTCTCTCTCAATAAAGAAGACATAGCTACATGTTGTGTGGGCTATTGAGCGTAATATGAATCATCTGATTTTACGTTAACTGACGTGTACGACCGTGGTCATTACAACCTTAGTGCACTAATGTATGCCTATACTGTATATGAGAAACTTTCGTCATCAATACTATACAGTACTTACATTCGTATGTGAAAGTTTGGAGCTTGATGAAGTGGTGCACTCTATATAGGGAGACATCTGATTACTGAACCATAGGGGGATCATCAGGATCACTGTTGGAAGAGGGTGATGCAGTGGTGGTTGGTGGAGAGGCGTGCGACCAGGAGGTGGCACGTTGCCGGGAGGTAGGTGGCGGGTGGCTGGGAGGAGGGTGGAGCGGTGGCGGTAGTAGCTGGTTCTTTCTTAAAAACTTTGTAATTGGTAGTTGTTTCTTCTTTGCATTGAGGTCCTTAAACATTTCCTGGAAGGGAAACAATACCTGGTTGATTCCTTGGACAATTTTAAGCGTTCCATGGAAGGGTCATGGTCAACAGTGAATTCATTTACCATCTTCACCTGTTGATATAGTTCACCAAAACTGTCCAAGCCCCAACCTTCTTGTTGCAATTCCATAATTTCTTCTTCTTCTTCATCTTCCTCGTCACTTTTTACCAACTCTTCCAAATTCTCTTCTGTTAGTTCCTCTCCATGCCCATCAATCGGCTCTTCCATGTCTTCAGCAGCCATGTCCACAAACCCCTCACCACCCAACTGACGTGCAACACTCACAATGTCATTCACATTCTTTACTATGGACGGA